TGTTTAAAATATCATTTTATTTTTGTGAATTGTTTGAGTCTTAAGAGATTTCCTTTTTGACATTAGTTAAACGACTTTAAGATACAATATAAAAAGATAGGTTTTAATAATATTTAAAATAGGAGTAAATAATATTTTCTTATTTTATTGCAGATTGTTTGTAACAAAATATACGAAGCAACTCAAAAATATGAGAAAAATCAAAATATGCAACAAACTATTTTGACTTGACTAGCTAGAAATTCTCGTTTTAATAAACAAGAAATGACAAAGTAGTTCGTTTAGACAATTTCTAGAAAAATATTGTAAAAAAAGCATTCCAGATGAGAGTACTCTTCGTAGAAATTATGTCAGGCCAGCTTGTGATAAAACAATGCAGCAAATTGAAAAAATTATCGCAAATAATTATATATATCATAATTATATATATAATCAAGCCAACTTGATTATAGTAGTCTTGAGTGAATATTGTCACAGAAGGATTTTTAATAAGTTTGAAGGAATTAACAAAAACGAACAGTGTGTGTGTAGATGTGTACATGAAGAGTTAAACGAGTGTTATTGCCCGAGGTAATAAAAAAAAATGTAATGATGCTTTCCGACGCAGCAGCATATTATGTAAATTATGTATTTTATTATGTATTAAAGGCGCATCAAATCTTAAAATTTTTTACTATAATTTAGTCCATTGCACCTGCTTAGCACATGGGCATAACCGCATAGCTGAAACTATAAGATTTCAGTATCCTTTGGTCAATCAATTAACAAAAAATGGCCAAAAAATATCTATAAAAGCTCCATTGAGAGAGCTTTTTAAGAAAAGATGTCCTGATATTCCTTTACTCCCAGAACCTATTTTAACGCGGTGGGGAACTTGGCTAAATGCTTTCTTGTACTATGCCAATAATGTTAACGAATTTAAAATATTGATACTTAAATTTCAAGGTACAGAAAGCAAAGCAATTCAAGAATGTCAGGAAGTTTTAGAAGTACCCGAACTTGCACATAATTTGGCTTTTATCAAAACTCATTTTAAATTCGTAAGCCAAAGCATTCATTTTTTGGAAAAACAGCAGCTGCCGTTAGTGGAGTCCATAAAGGTTATTAAAAATTTTGAAGCTGCAGCAAATAGTATTCCAGGATCTATCGGTCAAATAATAAAAGAAAAATTGGTTCAGACTCTTTCAAAGAATGCAGAGTTCTAAACAGTGCAGAAAGTATCTACTATTTTGAATGGTTCGCCAAATTCCGATTTTAAAATAGATCCAGAAATTATACCAAAGCTTAAATATGCACCTGTCACGAGTGTAGATGTAGAACGAAGTTTGTCTGCATCCAAAAACATTTTATGAGACCGGAGACACAATTTTACTACGGAAAATTTGGAGAAACATTTAGTTATATTTTCTTTTAAGCATTGTTAATAGTAAATAAGTATATTTAAAATAAACAGAACGTGTTAAATGTAAAATAATAAATAAAAATAACAATATATTATCATTACAACTTGTATTTATTTTTTTTCAAATGCTTTCTTTAAATTTCGTGCTTTTTAAAAATATTTTAATTCTTTTTTAGGCAATTCTTTTCCTTTTTTTGTGCTTTTTTTATCCGGTTTTTACAGATGACAGCTGTGACAGATTGAGGTATGTCATTCATTTGCCCCAAAACGGTTGGCAGCACTGACGGCAAAGTGGCAGAGTTATGCTTACATCAAAGTATGTCATTATCACTTCCTTTGATTTGTTTTCCTTTGTACTGTGGTACCCGAGGTTACTACA